CCATATTACTATGACACGAAACACGTGTTTTGATGTAAATAAACAATCTGTTGTATACGCCACTTGGAACTCAAGTTTCAAGGACACGCTCTCGACAATCCCTCCGCTTTAATATGACGAGCACAAAGAGAACTTAACGGGGACTGTGTCATTTTCAATGACTTGTTTTAAATCTCATTTATTCCGACAACAGAATTATTAAATTAAAAAGAACATTAAGGAAAATGTTTCTACATGTTTTACCAGTAACTTACAATAAACACCAAACTGAAATGAATCACAACTCGGTATTACATCTTTCTGGTGTCACATAGAATATACTGGTTACCCAGAATTCAGTGTACTGTATCTTCCCAGATCAGAAAGTCCTCCAACTTTGAAAAGCAAAATTCTAACTAAATTTTTTTTGTCTCAGGAGGAAAACCACCAAAGTATCCAGCATATGAACGTGTTGTTCTAAGAGATCGTGAGTACATATCATTAACCATTATCACTGAATGCACTCTCAGTTTTAGCTAAAAATACATTGAAAGTAGATATTCTGCACTCCCTTTCCTGCCTATTTCATTTAGAGAGTACTGGAAGGTCTTATCACTCAGATAAACCTAACTACAATTTAACTGACTTTGAAGGACACACACCTCCTTACTCAGTGAGTGTCTATTGTTTACAAATCAAGCTTTATTCAAGAAACCAATATCTCAGGGAATGGTACCTCACTAGTGATAATGTAACTTTAATAAGGATATGATACTGAAATTATGCTTTGCATTTATTCCTTGTTTTTTTCATGGTATTAACTGTAAAGCACCCTCACGCTTGTTAGCTTTGGGAACCCTTTTGCTGGCTGCTGGATACACAAAAATAGTGTTTCATTTAGCTTTGACGTCTTAGCCTATTAATGCAACTTTCAATGATCAATCCTGACACCACAGATTGTGCCAATGGTTATGCCAGGTTGTTGATTTTCTGATACAACATTCACATTTTTTTCTTACAGCTGGGTTCTTCCGTCCAATCGTCTTCTTCGGACCCATTTCTGACTTAGCAAGAGAAAAACTTCTTGGTGATTTTCCAGAACGTTTTGAAAATCCATGTAAGTACCAAACATCTTTATATTCATAATCATGTTATATACAATAGTCTTGAAAGGCATTCTGAATATCATAGCTGCATTCCTCTGAAAAAGTCATGTACACAGATGAACAGGTATACCCATTAACAGATCCGGATAAAAATACAATATAATATGAACAAACACAACACAATTATATATTGGAGTTAATATGATCCAGTAACTGAGAAGTTTTAAAAACATTTTTAATATTATGGAATATTGAATATGGCCTTGCACCTCGGTAATGATGATTTTGATCTGAAATTAACTAACCCATAACCTGGTTTTAAAATACTCTTGTGTCTCAGACGCCTTGTTGGAGCTTAAAAACAAATATTACTAGGAATTTGAGGACAGCCATACCAAGCATTGATAATTTTATGCAGGAAGATCATAATAAAAATAATTCTGTTAGATAAAATAGAGATATTAAAAAGTTTGCAGTAAATAGGACAACCAGTTGCATGTAGTACATGTTTATTTTGTACAAATTTCACAATCAAGCACAGTCATTTTCTTCTTGATGACTCGTACATTTTGCGTCACATTAATAGTGATAAGTTTGCATTAAAATTACTTCAGAAAAATAATTAAACAACCCTGGAAATGAGGTACCACAACCTCAGGGATTGACTTTTTTACCTTCAACAACTGTATTCACTATGAATATGATATACATGTATATCAATGTACACTGTATTGTCATCAATCTACTTTTTGTTTTGTTCTCAGTGAGTGAAAAAACTGAATCAAAATCCAATCAATCCATGCGAGTACCCCAAGCAGTTATTAAACTCTATGCAATCAGGGACGTCATGGATAAGGTAATTACTTTGTTTTGCTTTTATGTGATGCTACATCCCTGGATAGCAGAATTACCAGTCAAAGAGGCGTTCAACTAGTCAGCGGTGTCTGTCCAGCTACATGATGCAAACCATTATACCATATGTGTATGTGGGACATCCAGTCTACTGTTTCCATATTACTTGGAAGGCAGCTTTGACATATGAATATATATAGCATATTTACTATATTTATAAACCTGTTGAATGAGTTGACAGGGTTGCACTAAAAAAAATAAATGAATGTGCCTCTGTTGGTGTGATTAATTTCATGGCATGTTGTCTTTCACAGCAAAAACACTGTGTGTTGGACATCACACCCAATGCAGTGGATAAACTGAACTACGCTCAGCTCTACCCTATCGCTATCTTCCTGAGGCCAGATAGTAGGCATACTATACGTGAGATACGAGGACAGCTTGGAGAGGGCAAGATAGCACCAAGGAGTTCTCGACGGTTGTACGACCTAGCCATCAAACTAGATGAAATGTATTCACATATCTTCACTGGTAAGTTCATATATGAAGAGTCACATGATTTGAATTGACCAATCATGCTGCTCTTACTGTGATCTCCACCACAGACTGCAGTTCTACTAATAACTTCATAAGAACAATTGAATTTTATTTGTATTAAATTTGTCACTGCACATAGAAGCTTTGATCAGTTTTATCATATAGCCTTAGTGTACATCTCACCAAATTACTATGCAAATTGAATTCAAGCTGTCTTTCTCTGACTGGATTTGTCAACCAATTAGAGCAGGCCTAACTAGAATGTGGCATGGTGTCACAAGGAATGATTGGTTGCCTGAACACAATTTGCATACTGCATGTAGTTAGAGGTTTGATGTACACTCACATTGGATTGGAGTAAAATGACATGTGAAAGTAAAGCTTCAAAATCAATAACAGCTATAGTTTATTTTTCCCATTGTGGTTGTAACTAATTTTGATTGGTATCTCTTCAGCTACTGTCCATCTTGCCCATAACAATATGTGGTATTCCAAGGTCAAGGATATTATACGACAACAACAAAGTACTCCAATTTGGATGGCTGAAATGAAGGTATGTAGTGTATGTTATTTGAATATGCTAATTATATGCAAATTAGTTTCCTAGTTGGAATAATAGTACAGTAAAGTTTCAATATTGTTAATGAAAAGGCATGATTTGCATAAAAGTGTTGCAGTTTCTGAAAGTTCCGGAAAGCCATTTATGGTGTCGCAATTTAAATACACGGAAGTTTTGACTTTACAAGTTTTTGTAATCTACTTTATTTCTTTACATGGTATTGCACTTCAGGTTACTATGGTAATATGTAAATAAGTTATTTTTGTGTTAATATATAGTATGATTTACTTTTCAGATTGATGATGCTCTTACTGAAGACCTCATGTTCCCCATGACAACACGTCTGTCATATGCGTCGTCTCCGGAGAGTGATCTGTCACTTCACCTCATAGGTGGCAGCGGTTACGAGAGTGCCCCTTCACCAACGATGGATAGACAGAACATGGTGAGATCATCATCTGATCCAAACTTACGAGGTCATGATGGCTATCATATGCCTCCTGCTTATTCTTATCCTAGAAAGTATCGGGTAAGTTCGGTTGGTGTGCATGCTGTCGCTGTCAGCATGGTTCATCCATCTGCATGCCTTGTATGTCCTGTGCCTGCATGCCAACTTACCTGTGAACTAGTATGTGTTCCCTTCCCTTGTCCTGTCTATGGTTATAGTAATTGTTGCTATCTACATTGTTATATAGTTTATATACCATTGATTTTTTTGAAATTTTCTTGTTTAATGTTTTCGTCTAATGCTTTGCGTTTCCAGGAATCCAATCAGCAATATATTCCAAACGACTACCGAGGCGCCCGACATCCTCCACCAGACGACTACTACCAACAGCGCCCGTCGCGCAGAGATAAGCGTCCACATCAACAAAGAACAAATTATGATTATGCTTATCAGTCACTTCCTAAAGCTAAAGAAAAAGACTATGATTATCCAAGGTCAACTCTGTACTCGCCGCCTCAACCACCCCCACAACCGCCTGAGCAAGGCCCGGGTGATTATGTTGATAAGACGAGTCGGCGAAGAATAGAATCTGATCATGTTGAACGACAGAGACCTTTGACTAATTATGAACAAGATAAGTGGTATAGTAGCTTCCCTAGGAGCAAGTCTCTGGGGAACCAAGATCGACCGGATATGCAGAATTATAAACAGAGATATCCAAATCGGCAACAAAGTGCCGAACGTGACCGACGACATATGGATAGGTATTCGTCAGATTTATATCCAAGACAACAACCTATGAGGAATCAAAAAGATTATGAGAATTTTCCACCACAACGGAAACAGCAAACACGGGAAAGAGTTGAACCACCCAGAGAATATTATACACAACGCTCTGAGCCATATTTAAATAAATACGATGACAATAAAACTCAGTATGGAACGTCATCACGGCCTGTGCAACATGATAAACTTCCTGATAGGACTAATAGAAATGAACACAGGGCTGAACAAAAGAATGATCCATATAAGTACACTCGTAGCACCGCTATGTCCTACAAAACTGTTCCAACAGTGGATCCGTTTGTTAAGAGATCAAAAGATCCAGATCAGTATCGCCGAAATCATGATATATATTCTAAACCGAAACCTACATATACAAAGACAGTGATGGATGATGAAAAAATGTATATGAGGAGGTATCGTGAGCGATCACCATCGCCTCCACCTCCTCCTGTGAAAACGCGATCTGAGTCGCACATCTACCGGCCTGTTGAAGCTCCGTACAGCCAAGGTAGAGATCCAAGAACTATGTCAGCTTCACCAGAAGTCGTCATACCTAAAGCTGTGTATCCCACAAAATCATACCCGCTACTTGACCCGGCCCCGCCACCGAGGGCACGAGATAACAACCCAGATAGGTATAATCGCAATTTTGATGACAGATACCGAGATGAAAGAGAAAGATACGTCCCTGAGAGACATCACCGACAGCATGAGAGGGAGTACAGCGAAGTTCCAAATGAGCAGGATTATTATCGTCAACGTGATTACTACGATTATGACAGACAGCGTAGAGATGAATATGGGCATAATGATGACAGTGGCACTGACCATGATCGTCGTGGTGACACTGATAGGCATCCTGCTTACATTGTGCCCAGTAAGTAAATGTTTTATTTTCATGATAAATGCATACACATACCAACATACATATGACATGTTGTAATAATTGGCAAACCCTTGAAATTGAAATGTAGTCAAAAGAAAAATATTAAAAGCAATCAGCAATGTTGATTTCATTTACCAATTTGTCCAATTATAATAGATTGTGAGAGGTGTTTATTCCTCTCTTCTCCTTTCCTGCTTCTCTATCAGATGTAGTCATAAGATTAGTACTCACAAATTATTAGGAAATTCTCATAAATACAATTTACTTTTCATGAAATAAATGCAAAAATAGATTTGTTTTTCTTCAAAATAAATATTTCGTACTGGCTGAAAAACATAGATGAGTTGTGTATAAAACAGTAATTATGTAACAAATTAATAATAAATAAATATATAAATACAAAAAATTGAATCTCCGCAATGTTGAATCTCTTATTTTGAAGTAAATATTGTTCACTGTTCATACAATCCTTCCTCCTTTACTCCCTTTTGGGAAACAATTTTAAAATGCTTTTGTGATAACACTGGTTATTTACTTGCAGTTCCGCGACACGCTAGAGAATCTGAAGATGAGAGAGGTACGTCACATGATGAGGCATCTCCCGAAGCCCACAGTCGTGATCCAAACCAACCACCCCCACTTCCAAGCAGTTCACCGCCACCTCTAGACGATGATGACGATGAGCCGCCACAAATCAATGGAAGAGATTCTAGTCTTGAACGAAACTTGGAGATTCCAAAAAACTTGGAACGGGATAGGCAGAGGGAACATCCGGTCTACAACAACCCTAAAGAATGGTCTGATTCCTTGGATTCCGGAACTGGGACCACCGGAACCTCGGCCTATCCTTACCACCAGGAATCCTATAAAGCTTACAAGGAAAAATTACGTCAAAAATACAGTCATACGTACAGAGCAAGGAATGAGATGAACACCACATCGACAACAACAACGACAACAAAAACCACAATGATCGAGAATACACCAGAACTTAGAAGCGATGAATCTGATAAGGCACCTACAGATGATGGGATTGTAACCAATGGCGACAAAGATGATCATGATAATATATTCATGCCAGTGTTGGTTAGGTAAGAGTACTGTCTTTTTCAAGAGAAAGCTGTCAGTCCCTGGGATTGCACCATGATGTGAAAACTATGTCTTGTGTAGATTCATTGTTTGCTATTTATTTTCCTAGTATTCAATTTTGTAATATTGATGATTAAATGGTGCATTCTCATTGGTCGATCAGCGTAACATGTGCCCAGTTATTAGACTAAAGTGGGTGAACAAACTGTGTGTGAATTGGCAACATTAAGTGTTTTCCATATTTGGACAGATCATTGAGCAATAGCTGAAATACAACCATCTTCAGTGTGCATACCACTGCAGGTATCGTATATTCAAGTTTTGTAGTTGTTTGCTAAAATAATGATCTTGACGATATCTCACCCATTGTTGTACATACATGTATATCCACTAATGATCTTGACGACATCTCACCCATTGTTGTACATACATGTATATCCACTAATGATCTTGACGACATCTCACCCATTGTTGTACATACATGTATATCCACTAATGATCTTGACGATATCTCACCCATTGTTGTACATACATGTATATCCATG